CTCTTGTCTGTTTGAGGCAAGTGTGAATGTTGCAATTGGCCACCTTGATTAACACTGAATGACCTTGCAGCTTCAAAGTCTGACAGCTTCCTGCCTGGGAATTCTTTGTTGAGAGGTGTTTACTGATCCAACTGAAGCACAATTGAAGCACCCCCTGAGAAGTGGGAAAGAAATAGGGTTTTGGAAGCAAGGAAGGTGGGGGGGGGACCTTTTTTGGGGCGAGGAAGGTTGAGGAGGGGGAGGAGCAGGAAAGAAGAGGGAAAGCTTGGAGGGAGAGAAGGGAGGAGGAGGGAACCGTGAAGCCCCAAGGGGTCCACAGAGCACACTTTGAGAACCCTTGTTCTAAAGTGTTACACTATGTGATAATAGAATCAAGAATGCTATATGCGCAATTCTGGGAAAATACTAAAATCCCAACATTGGAAGAATAGGCATTAAAAATATTGAAATTAGCAAAAATAGATCAGCTAGCAATGAGGATTGAGGAAAAAACCCCAAAGATGTAGAAAAGACTGGGGGCCATTCTTAAATTTTATTTCAAAAGATGATGGGAAAATAATGATAGGTTTCAAAACATATGAGAATTTGATATAAAACCAAAAATTAGAAAGACATGGTAAATTTTGTCTATAGGAAGAATCACTTTGCCTACTTTTATAAGAATGTTGCTCTTCAACTCGGAGAGCAAGAAGTCAAAGGGAGAAGATATACGAAGCTAGAAAGTACCTAAGTTCAAACAATAAGGAGAAAGTTATCTTTTTTGCTTTAACTATGACTCCATACTGACTGTTTTTCCTCTATTCCCAAATCACAAAGAACAGTCTTTTAAACAAAAACCGAGCTATTGTCTTTAACTCCCCCAGGATCCTGCTATTCCACTTCTGCCAAGACTACACTGTGATAGCATCTATTTATTATATTTGGGGACACTCATTGTAGTTCATTTTTCACTCGCTGTCAAGAGGGCTGGGTGCTCTACCTTTCCCATCCGTGCTCTCCTCATAGAGAGCAAACTACAGCTGACAGTTCCAATTACATTTCTTCTTCAGTACAACTTTGAATATACTCTTGACTTGCATTAAAAATAAAAAATTATGGAGTTATCTTTTTTTCTTCCTCAGATCTTCTTCCCCACTTAATAAGTTACTTATCATACAGTATTAATAATTGAAAAAGTATCTACTCTTGCTCCAATGTCTGTCTGTATCCAGGCACCCTTGATGTCAACAAATTGTAGAGCTTTTGATACATAGATTCAGTGGAGTAGTTACCACCAGCAGTACAAAGAAGGCTCTTAAACAACACAGCATTATCATTACAATTGTTGTTGTTGTTGTTATATTTATGCCCCACTTTATCTCTCCTGCAGGAGACTCAAAGCAGCTTGACATAAAAGCATCAGCTTACCATAGATGCAGGCGAAACGTCAGGAGAGAATGCCTCTAGGACATGGCCATATAGCCCGAAAAAACCTACAACAACCCATCAGCATACAATTTGAAATATGCAAATAGGCAAATATTAAAGCAGGATTAAATATAAACAGTATTAAAAATTTCCCAATTAAAAACCATTAAAACATATTCAAGGTTAAAAATCACAGCACCCCGACTTGATCTTTAAAACCTTCTTCTTTAAAAGCCTGCCTGAATAAAAAGGTTTTAGACTGCCACCAGAAGGACAGCAGAGAAGGGGTCATTCTGGCTTCCCTGTGCAGGGAGCTCCAGAGTCGAGGGGCAGCCACTGAGAAGGCCCTCTCTTGTTCCCACCAACCAAGCTTGAGATGGAGGTGAGACCAAGAGAAGGGCCTCTCCTGAAGATCTCAGGGCCTGGGCAAGTTCATACAAAGGGATGCAGTCAGCCAAATAGCCTGGACCTGAACCGTCTAGTGCTTTAGAGGTCATAACCAGCACTTTGAATTGTTCCTGATAACAGACTGGCTGCAGTGGAGCTGCTGCAACCAGGGGGAGGAGGGGAGGGGAGGTTGTCCGCTCCCTGTAGCCAGACTCAGTGAGCAACCTGGCTGTAGCTTTTTGGACCACCTGAAGTTTTTGAGCACTCTTCAGAGGCAGCCCCGCTTAGAGTGTGTTATAATAATCCATCAATTACTTCTTCAAAAAGTGAAAGCAAACCACTCTCTAGTTATAAACTATTAAAAGGAGAAAAGCATAACTACCTTTTTAAGAAAAATATTTCTGGTTGTATTACAGAAGACAGATACTGTTTGTATATATATTTAAAACTTTTACTAGGGTAAATATTGCAAATGATGGTTGTTGCGATGCAACCATTTCTGTGCTGCAGGTTAGTGGTGTTAGTAGGTGTTCTGAGACTGGTACATGTGGAAAGAGATGTATTGCTAATTTCTTTACAGCAAGGATATTCACTGGCAGTTTGATGAAGTACTGAGACTTACCACTTTTTAACACACACCAGTGAAATCACCGAATATCGCCACAAATCACTGTGATCCTAGCAGTGCCTGTCCAAGGGGCATGGGGACCTACTGCCCTGCACCCCACATCATCCCTGCTTCCCCTCTACATCATAACACAGGGAGAAGCCTCTTTCTCAACCCATGTTTACCAATGGAAAGACAGGGATTCTTCTGTCTTGGCCGCCAGCAATTTTTTGGCAGCAGCAGGGGTTTTGTGCCAGTTTTGCCTGGAGCTGCCCCAGAAGTACTTCGCCAGGGTGTGATGGGAGTTGCTGAGCTCTGCGGTGAAACTACCAAAAACCTGTCACCGCCGCCAAATTTGGGCCTGTATGAATGTTTACATGAAATTAGCTAAGGATTTCCACATGGCACACAATAACAGAAAGGATTCTTCCAAGCATCTGATGATGAGTGTGTTTTGTGTGTTATGCATCATATTTGTGTTATTCCTGTACTGTGTGCGCACATGTGCACACATATGAAACTTGGACGTATTTTAATACAGTGTAAAAGCTAGCCAGTAAAGGTGTCATAATGTGACTGGCCTGGATCAGTAATCTGGCAGCTTTCTGGAAAAGTCCAAGTTTCTGGACACTTTTCATGTAATACATTGTAATAATATTTCCAGACATGGATGAAATCAGTACACTAGTTTTACCTATACAAACACACTCCTATATCCACCACTAAAACATAGACATCCAAACTTATATCTCAATGCAAATAGCAAACCTGCATTCTCAAGAATATGATAATCCCACCCATCACCTGTCAAATTTCTGTTATCTCTGCCTTTAATTGATCAGGAATATCTGTGATTTTGGGTGGATTAAACTTTATTTGTTTGCTTTTGTCCAGACTATTTCTGAAATCAGAACTAGCAGAGCTTTCTTGTGTTTAAAGGGAAAGGCAGCATAAAGGATATTACTTCATGTCCAGACAGCAACTAGACATTTGTTTGTCATGGTACAACTGTAAATTTGCAATGTTAGAGTTATTCGTCTTGGTTGCTGACGTATGGGTAATGACTGTAATACTATAGCTGAATATTTAGTGCAATAAATTGTTTAGTGTGAATAAATCTGTGGCAGATCCAGACAGTCACATGTCCTCTGCATTGCTGATAGTGAAAACTTTTAACATTGATTACCTTAGCTTTTGTGAGGGAATTCAGATTTGTTTATGAGCATTCTTACTACTGAGAGGATGAAGACTAATGGAAAAGAAAGTTCAAAGTAGTCACCTTACACTGCACTTTGAACAGGGGTAGATCTGTCAGCTGAAGTCTGAGATGTGCTCCTAAGATACAGAAGCCAAGCAGCAAGGGAGCCCAAAGACATGAGTAATCATCAATACAAAGTATAGTGCAGGCAATTGACTCAGAAAACAACATTGTGGAAGAGTAGACATAGAGGTGCTTGTTGAATTTATTTATTTGCCGTATTTATATACTGCTTTTCTCACCCCAGGGGGGACTCAAAGCGGTTTACAACAAATAATGGCAACATTCAATGCCTCACATACATATAAACCAATTCATAGATCTAAAAACATATAACTTAGCATTAAAATAAATAAAATAATTAAATATAAAATAAAACAACAATGGGACACGAATTGTCTAATGAGGACCGTGGATACCAAGGGCAGCCTGGTGACTTCCGCTAACCACCAATGTTCTGGAGCAGAGATCAGGACTCACCAAGAAAAGACAAAAAGGATGTCTGAGGAAATACTACATTAGTTTCAACTCACCCAAGTGGTGTACAAGTATGTGAGAGAAGAAACGAAATCTACATACAAATTCAACTTAAGACCAAACCTAAAGAGCCTCTCTTGTTTTTAACTTGGGGACTGCCTATACTACGTTTTATTAGATTATCATTTTAAAATATTTTAAATAATTAAGATACTTTTATTATATCCTTTATATAGTGTCAATAAGGATCTATTTGAATGTTAGATCAATTTTATATTATTCAGTAAGAAAATCTGAAGATATGTTGTGATCCTCGACACAGTTGTTGTTTCAAATAGGCTTTTGGCTCATAAAACTGAAACTATTGTGAATGGCAGTCTCGAAGACGAATTCCTGGTAGAGGTTAAGAAACTGTGTAGTTGCCCTTAAATTTCAAAGACTGGAAATGTAGCTATTTAAAAGTAAAAGAAAATGAATACATCAGTCACTACTCTAGACATGAGAAAGCTTCAGCCCTCCAGGTGTTTTGGACTTCAACTCCCACAATTCCTTAAGCAGCTGAGGGGGAAAAGGAAAGGGCCTGAGGCTATGAGGAATTGTGGAAGTTGACATCCAAAACACCTGGAGGGCTGAAGTTTGCCCAAGTCTGCACTACTCCCTTGAAAGGGCAACGTTTATCCAGGCACACACAGATCCACACACTGAAATATACATGACATCATTATGATGCAGACATACATGGCATTTTAAAATCATTTGTATTTATTTTGAAGTTTATAAATGCGTAGATTTGTTTCTATGGGCAGTGCCAACATTATTTGTGAAAATGTCAACATTTTAACTTCTTCTTTTTGCTTATTTTAGTAGCCAAGGATGTCAATATTTTCTTTGACGAATTAGAAGGCATAACCAGCCCTTCCAAAGATGATGATTCTTTGCTTCACCATGGTAACTTGACCAGTACGTCAGATGATACTAGTAGACTGGAGGCAGTGGGAGAGGTAAGAACCATATCTATATAAATATAGATACACATTCACACACAAGTTCACATTTTTATGGCACATCATTACTGGGATTTTAAATAATCTCTGGGGGGGGTTTTCCCAATAGTGAGTTCTTTAGTTACTTGAAAATGACTTGGCAGTCACAGTTGTAGAACTAATGCTCATGAACGCAAAATGCCTTCCTTATTGTTTAATTAAACTAGATAGCGGAGAACAAGTTCTCAATGCCATATGCCTTATCATTGATGTTCTAGAACAGGGGTTCTCAAACTTTTAAAGCTGTGGAGCTCTCTTTGAAGGAGTAGTTTCTTATGAATCCCCAAGTAACTTTGTCACACAGAGCCCCTCTTGCATTTTAAAATTTGACAGATGGCCTGGGCCAGTGGCAGATGGATGGAGAATGTTTGTGGGAACTAATTGAAAAAAAATGAAAAAATCACAAGATATGTTTACACTGCACGTATCTCGTGAAAGAAAGAAAGAAAGAAAGAAAGAAAGAAAGAAAGAAAGAACAATACAATATTTAAAATGAACAACCAACATAAACTTAACAGTATTTCAGTGGAAGACCCAAGAGGCCATTCAGTCCACTTTTATTCTGCACTGCAGGAAAAGAGCAGTTAAAGCACCCCCAACAGATGACCACCCAGCTTTTGTAACAACAACAACAACAACAAGAGCAATACCATGGGCCATCCAGTCAAACCTCCTTTTGCCATGCAGGAAAAGCACAATCAAAGCACTCCCCAACACATGGCTACCCAGTGTTTATAACAACAACAACAACAACAACAACAACAACAAGACCAACACCATGGACCAACCAGTCCAACCCCCTTCTGCCATGCAGGGAAAGCACAATCAAAGCACTCCTGACACATGGCTTACCAGTGTTTGTAACAACAACAACAACCCCAAGGGTCATCCAATCCAGCCCCATTCTACCATGTAGAAAAAGCAGAATCAAAGCACTCCGAACAGATGGCCACCCAACATTTATAATGATAACAACAACAGCTGCAACCCCAGGGGTCATCCAGGCTGACCCCCTTCTGCCATGCAGGAAAAGCACAATCAAAGCACTCCCAACAGAGGGCCACCCAAAACTTGTAACAACAACAACATGAGTAACCCCAGGGGGCATCCAGTCCTTACAGAGTCCCTGACTATGCTTTGTGGAGCACAGGTTGAGAACCGCTGCTCTCGAGTAAAACAAGTACACTGATCAAACTCTTGTTTCTAACACACACAGTGCAAGGCATATCAAATGAGATTTATTATTCAAACAGACTTGTGCTCATCAGGACATTGTGATCATAGCAGATAGAGGGGTGGTCCAGTCATATTTCACTGGTATTTGTTTGGTTTAGTGACAGCTGGTCTAGTGACCTCAGTATACTCTGGAGTTTAGTTTTTGAATTTTGAAGATGCTATCCAAGGTGCTGAATCATATGATCACTAATTTAAAGACCAGAATGGATTGGTTATCAGTGGATCTGGAAGTGGTGGGGTTCCTACTCCCTGCCTTCTGAAGCTCCCATGCATCCTCAGTGTCTGTCCCATTGGGCTGGGAAATCATTTGAGGGCACAGAGGAAAGGGTAAAGAGAAGGAAAATGTCCTTTTGTGCTAGTGAATATCCATTAGTACACCCCTGGGAATTAACCCAGATTTTTTATTCCTCATGCCTGGTGTAGTTTAAATCCTCATTTATTTAAAAAAAATGTTCAAAAATATGCCTTTCTAGGAGAGGAACAATTCATTCTTTCTACCGTGAACTTTCTGTACTATAAATTGAGAATTCATGTTAAATATTTTTATGTGTAATTGTTGATTACTACATATGAAGATCAATGAAGTCTGTGCTGTTTCTCATGGCCATTGTCTCTTAAAATTGTGTGGCTTGTTTGGTTTTATAATATTTTTAAAATGACTATTTCTACTTATTTAATGTTTTGAGGGTGTTTTTAAGAATTGTGTCATCGCTTTAGAAGTCTGGTGGGCTGAAAGCTGGTAAACAATAACCTTGAATAAATAAATAAAAATAAAATATGTTGACAACCAACTGGAAACAATCATTCTAATGTTATCTTTGAAAAAGCACTTTCCAGGCTGTGGTCTGGATTAATTAGTTAGATTTTTAAAGCTTTGTACATTCCTTTTTCTTGCAACACTTTACAGAATTTCTTCCTCCTTCTCAAAGTCAGACCCATAATAGAGTTCTCACACTGACACACACACAGCAGGGATAGTAACCTTCCTCATGGTGGCTATTTCCACTATCATTATTTCTAAGATAATTTCTATAAAACTACCTGGGTTTATGGGAGGGATTGTATTTGTAATAGCTTTCATTTATCTAATATAATTAGGACCATGCCATTTTTTTTTCACTGCTTATGGCAAGCAAATAGAGATGTCTTCTAAATTTTCTGGACTGAAAATAATGATCATCACTATATCCCTTCAGTGCCAAATTGGTGGTGTAGTTTTTGCATTGGACTATGACTTTAGAGATCAGGGTTTGATTCCTTGGAAACAACAACAACAACAACAACAACAACAACAACAACAACAACAACACACTATAATAATACACTTTATTTATATTCTGGCCTTCTCCCCGAGGGGACTCAGAGCAGATTACAGCATATAAACTGATACAGGCAAACATTCAATGCCTTGTTACAGTGAAATTCAATGACACACAAACACAGACAAAGGCAAAGGCTTCCCCTTTTATTTCTGGCTTTGCAGGCGATACTAATCTCTGGCTCTGGGGAAGGTGCTCATTTTCATTTCCAAGCCGAGGAGCCTGCATTGTCCACAGAAACCTCCTAGTCAAGTGGCTGGCATGACTGCATAGAAAGTCTTTTTGCCTTTCCCGCCAAGACAGTACCTATTGATCTACTCACATTAGCATGTTTTGAAACTGCTATGTTGGCAGGAGCTCACCGCATCCCGTGGTTTAACCAATTGCACCACTATGGAATAAGGAAGAGGAATCATGCAGGAAGAAAGATCATGCAGACCTCTAGGTATAATTGGACTGCAATTCCCAGGGTTAGGTCATGTGTCAGAAAAGATGAAAGGCCTCTCTTGGAAACCTCTAGGAATGGCAATTCATTTGAAATACATTGCAATACTACTCCTTGGACCAAATATCATTAAAGAACATGTAAAGGAGGGTAAAATTACTGCCACCAACTTTGTGAGGAAAGCTGGGCAATGATCAACATCAACTTAGGAGCTGGTTTATAAAGGGACTATTAGTTACAGAGGTATTTATTTATTTGATAGCGTAGCGTTTAATGTCCCTGGTTTGGTTTTTCTACTTATGCAAGCTGTTTGACTTAGGAGAAACTGTATCAGGCAAGGCTTGAGGAGAACAGTAACAATTTTATTGGAACAAGTAAGGTATAACAGATTCAATTGTTTCTTCACAAGAGGCACAAATCTTGATAGGTTACATTAGTAAGGTTTCATGATTAACTTTAGGTACAGACTTTAAGAGGTTTCTATAAGCAGATGTATCTTTCCTGGGCAACTGTCCTAATAAAACAAATAAGCTAAAAGGCTTATTTAACAGAATTGGCTCCCAGCCAAACCCTGATTCTTAATATTAAAGAACCAGTCTTCCCTATAGTTCTCTAACTATAGTATTCCTGATGGTTTTCCACACACCACAGGATCAACTACCTTCTCCTGTAACTCTTTGGTCACAGACTAGTTCCCTGTTTCTCCCACTAGAGAAATCAGTCTTCCCTGTAACTCTACCGGTCACAGACTAGTTCCCTGTTTCTCCCACTAGAGAAATCAGTCCTTTCTGCAACTCTAATAGTCACAGACTCTTCCCTGATTCTCCCACTAGAGAAATCAGTCTTCCCTGTAGCTCACCGGCTTACAGACTGCCACTTTCAAACAGCTGCCCCGTGAAGTGACAGTTGGCTCCGCCCCCGTTGCTATGGCAACTCTGCTCAAGCCAAACCAGCCACTATCTCTAACAAAATATAATCCTACATACTTACCATTTATTAACTACTGTTTAAACAACACATAACCATAAGAATAAAAGTTACACATAGTCACATAACACTTTTTTAAAAAAAAAACAAAAACAAAACAGAAATGGGTTTACTTCCACTTCTGGTATTTCAGGCAGTTTATTTGACCCCAGTGCAGAAAATTAGGCCACAGACACACTAAATTTGCTTGCCTTAATCCCTCACCATTGACTGCTGACTGCAGGTGATGAAAGATTAAATCCAACAACACACTCCCTACCTCTAACAAAACAAAATATGGTCAGCTGGAACTAGACAAAGCATGTGCCTTCCAGGAAAATAAATAATAATTATATTCTTATATCCCGCCTACATCTCCCCAAAGGGACTTGGGGCAGCTTACATGGGGATCAAGCCCAATATAAACAAGGTTGCAAAGTAACACAGTTAAAACATAACAATCAACTGTATTAAACCAATAAAACCAATAAAATCCAGGACATCATAAAACATAACCAAGCAACAAACAAATAATAATCATTGTCAGAATAATATGTCAGAGATCAAAGACTGATTTGTCCTCTTTTTAACATTCTCATCTGGTAAAAGGTGATGGTGAAGATGTTATAGAGCTGGTGGGTCTGAGTGTTGGAAGATTTCTTTCTCTGTGAAAAAGTGATTAAATGAAATATGAAGGAATTATGTATTTCTGAAGAGTTACAGATAATTTTAGTGATAGCAGATAGTTGGTCATATTGAAGAAAATGTTTACAAAGTAAGCTGCACAACTTTAAATGAGGCAAAAATGCATCCTATGAATGCTTTGCTTAGCCAGCAACTTTTCCCCCCTCATCACTCACATTTGATACATGCTGAGCCTGGGATCATGTTTTCTTTGTGATATATATGCTGTTATGAGCAATAATGGTTCTAGTGATGGACTTAGTCAGAAGTTCTGCTGTTGCAGCATCAGCCAAAATAAAACTGATTTAAATGTCACATAAGAAGGAAGTGTCACCAAAGTTTGACTCAGGAACACTTTCTTAATTCCCTCTCCCACAAACAGGCCAGATACAATTAAAAACAAAAACACATTGAGATGGGGGGAAACACAAAAGTTTGAGAAAAAAGTAGTAAATAAGGTTTTTGATTTTGAACTTCTCCTTTAGTTTATGTATCTATTAGTCCTTTGCTCAGACGAGTAAGTATATTCCACAGTGGGCTACACTAGGTAATAAAAATAATACCAGAAAATAATTCCTGCAACTAGGAATATTGAGCCCAGCATTAAAATATATTTTTGACTCAGAATGATGACTCAGATTGGCCCTGGAATATGATCTGAATTTTGTTATTTTAACTGCTATTTTAATGTTTTAATGTTTATGGTTTTAATTGGGTTGATTTTAATGCTATATATATATATATATATACACACACACACACACCCCGTATATGTGTATACATCATTGAATTTCACCTTTCTGAGGCCTCCCCGAGTCACCTTCGGAGTGAGAAAAGCGGGGTAAATAAATAAATAATTATTTATAGTGTTGTAAATAAATAAATAATTTTTGTTTCTTCATTTCCTCTCAATTTTCATTCAAAACCATCTATGGGGACTAAGCACAGTGTTATGAGATATTCTGGTCTCCCTCTGAGAGACAGAGTTGGCCCTACAATTAGACCAGCATGGTTATCTCAGGCAAGAAATGCCTTGAAAGAAGTGGCAGTTGTTAGTGATTTGGACTAAACTCAATTGTTTGTCCCAATTTTTGCAGTTTCTCAAGTGGCTCCTGGTGTGAGAGGACGTTGCCCAGGGGATGCCCAGATGTTTGATGTCTTACCATCCTTGAGGGAGGCATCTCTCACGTCCCTGCATGGGGAGCTGGAGCTGACAGAGGGAGCTCAACCCACTCTCCCCAGATTCGAACCGCTGAGCTGTTAGTCAGCAGTCCTGACAGCACAAGGGTTTAACCCATTGCGCCATTGGGGGCTCCTTGTCCCAACTAAAATAGATCCATTGAAAATAATGAATTTATGGAAATGTTGACATATCAATTTGCCATTGATAAAATTTATTTACTCTACTGACAATTAGATTTGGACTGTCATTGATTATTAATGTATTTTACTGTCCAAGAGTAGGACACTGTGCCATCTTTTAAATTAATGTACCAAAATAATTTGGTTAGTATTGAGAGAGGACTGCCCCTTGATTGGTTGTAAGATCATTTGCTAGTCTGCCTCATTATATATTATGTTATATACTGTAACATGCTTCTGTCCTGCATTTCTATAAAACTGCCAAAACACCTAGCCAGCAAGATTCAGCATGATAGTACAATAGCAACATTTTTTTTTAAAAAAAAAAAGATGTTTCAGGATCAAGATAACAATAATAACAACCAGGATAAAGAAATACAAACTATCATACAATAACTTATTAAACACACTATATCACAAAGTAGCTGGCAGATGATCATATGGGAGAATCTCGCTGTGGGTGGATAGGTTCATAATTAATATAGCTGCGAGATACTAAATTAACCCTTCCAAGAAATTCTTTTATTATTTGTAACAGTTTTAGCAGAACTTTATTTTAAAAAATATTTTGTTTGGGAATAGTGTTAGAATAAGTCCCAAAGTGTAAACCCTCTACTGTATAAAAAGAGCAGGAATCACACTGCAATTCCAGAAGTCCTAGTCAGTGTGTCCAATGGTGAAAAATGGAGGAAGTAACTGTCCAAAAACATCTGATTTCAACCCTAGTACAGAATATAATGAATGTTTTGACAATTGTTCCCCTTTTCACAGGTAATACCAGAGAAAAATAAATCCAGTGGGCTGTATTTTAGGGATGGGAAATATCGAATTGATTACATCTTGGTGTACAGAAAATCCAACCCACAAACTGAGAAAAGAGAAGTGTTTGAACGGAATATCAGAGCAGAAGGACTTCAGATGGAGAAAGAGGTAGGAGTTCTTTGTTGATGAAAGATTTTCAAAACTCAAAGCTTGTCACAGGCTCTAGACAAACAGATTGCTACTAAATGATGACTTAATACAAATGTTTTAGAGAGGGGAATGTATTTATCCAAATGATAAGGTGTAAAAAGTTTTCATCCATGAAATCTTTGCATTCTTCAGCAGTAAATAAATTGTTGGGCATGTTAGTTCTAAATGTTAGAATCTAAACTTTCCAATTTAGATTCACCCATTTATAATGATACCGTAACCTGCAACTGCCTTACTGCTAACTTATTTTGTGAATCTACATTAGGAATAGTGTAGGTAAGTTTCATACAAAGCCTCTTTGTTGTTCCCTAGGAATAGTTCATCCCTGTCCTCTGCCCATCTTTGCCAAGCAGCTTTCATGTGTCCCCCATGCTGTTTAATATCTACATGAAGCCGCTGGGTGAGATCATCCGGAGTTTCGGGGTACGGTGTCATCTGTACGCAGATGATGTCCAACTCTGTCACTCCTTTCCACCTGCTACTAAGGAAGCTGTCGAGGTCCTGAACCGGTGCTTGGCCGGTCTGGATGAGGGCGAACAAATGGAAATTGAATCCAGACAAGACAGAGGTACTCCTGGTCAGTCGCAAGGCCGAACAGGGTATAGGGTTACAGCCCGTGCTGGATGGGGTCGCACTCCCCTTGAAGGCACAGGTTCGCAGTTTGGGTGTGATCCTGGATTTATCGCTGAGCCTGGAGCCCCAGGTCTCGGCGGTGACCAGGGGAGCATTTGCACAGCTTAGGCTCGTGCGCCAGCTGCGCCCGTACTCTTGGGAAGTCTGACTTGGCCACGGTAGTCCACGCTCTGGTTACATCCCGCTTAGACTACTGCAACGCTCTCTATGTGGGGTTGCCTTTGAAGACGGCCCGGAAGCTCCAACTGGTCCAACGTGCGGCAGCCATGATACTAACAGGAGCGGGACGCAGGGAGCATACAACTCCCCTGCTGTACCAGCTCCACTGGCTGCCGATCTGCTACCGGGCTCAATTCAAAGTGCTGGCATTGGCCTATAAAGCCCTAAACGGTTCCGGCCCAAGATACCTAACTGA